ACAAATGTATTTAAATCATTAGAATGAGTTATTTGCGTTCTCTACATTAATTATAATTTAGTAAAAATGATTACTACTATTATTTACTATTACTATTATTTTTTTAAATTTTATTTTATTTTATTTCTTTCTTTTTTTGTAAGAAGAATTTTTATTTTAGGTTAGCACATTTTTTGTAATAAGTCTATCTGAAAATGAGATAAAATGAGAAGTATTTTACGAACTATTGCAAGAGTTTAACACTTTAAAAAAGATCGTAATTTTATTAAAGAGCCTTTGAAGTATACATACACTTTGTATCGTGCTGCAGCACTGCACCCTAATAGGCTTTTCCGATAGTGAATGAAATAGTCCTTCGGTTCATTAAAGGATGTTCATAAAAAAAAAATAAAAAAAAGAGAAAGAAGGGGAAAAGTGTAAGAATATACTTTTTTCTTGTTTAAATAATTTTAAGTAAAACGAAGTTATATTTGTAACTGACCTACATCTTAAAATGGAAGTTGAAAGAAAGAAAAGAAAAGAACTATTGATATATTGAAAGTCGGTTCTATTTTAAAGAAGAATATTTCTCTGCAGACTTTTCCATTATTTAAGATGAAAAGATATTTTCTGCTTTAAATAATGAATTTACCAATAAGTAACGTCAACATTTTCAATATCTTCACAAATTGAATAAATAATATTATTTAATAATAATATATTCTAGTGAAAAGAAAAATCCTAATGTTATTTGTTTAATTATAAGAATATATAGAAAAATAAACGAAAATTAAGTACAATTTTAATAAAAATATATGACAAAATTATTCTTTTTTATTATTTTAATATTCATATTCTAAATAAAAATTATGAAAAACATTGAGATCATCGCGTATATAATATTATAAATGTATTTCTTATATGTTATCTTAGGTTTGTGAAAATAAATATAATATTAAGCACAAAAAGAACTAAATTATCGATAGAAATATTTTGATAGAAACATTAAAGTAAAGTCACTTACTCTGCGTTATAATACGTTTTGAATTTCTCGAGGATGACACAAGATTCGCTAACATTTCCCTCTCTCTTTCTATTTTCTTTATCCTTCTACATTTCTATCTCGTTTCATGTACTTGACGCGTACGTCAACAATTCGAAACATGACAAACTTTAAGCGAACCTCACGTATTTTGCATAATTCCTAAATGGTATGTATATAACATGTTGCATTTTCTATTATAAGCGCTTGTACCTAAGTGACATTTTTAAAAAGAATAAAAATCATGGAGTTCTTTACATTTCAAATATATACGAGGATTGTTGAAAAGTTTTGTGTCTGTTTTTCCCCCAAGTTTTGACCACGTCGAAAAAACAAAAGTCAGTTTAAACGACGAAAATACATTGTTTTTATGTTAGACTCAAAACTTTTCAACTCATCCATTTTCTGAATTTTTGTTCTTATATCTTACGTAAAATTCTTTTATTTTTTATACTTGTCTATAATTTCTATACAATATTAATCATTTCTTTTTTTTTTTAATTTTATATTTGAATATTTAGGTATTATACAATAATTATAATTATTTAGTATTTAAGATTTTCATAATAATCGTCAAAAAAAAAAAAGAAGAGAAATGAAATTGAACGAATTTTTAAACATTAAAATCTAAGAATAGTATTATATATTATAAATACACGAGATAGGAACAAATCCAGTTTTATCTCAAGCCACGATCTTTTGACCTTTTGATCCTCAAAGCGCATCACTCTCAGTCAGCTTTTTTCATGTCAATGGCGTTTCCCGAAGAAGTCAAAGTCGAAGTATACATACTCCGGTTTACGTCTTTTCGAAAAGCTTCTTAAAAAGCTCGAGACAATTTTTTACCAGAAATTTTTTCCCGTCTAAATATACGAGCTTAACCCACATATCTACGTGGTATATTTCTCAAATGTGTACATATGTATGTATATGTATACACGTACATAAATGTACGAACATAAGGTTATCGGATAATAAAATATGTTTAAATCTGACGTCATTTTTATTATATTCAATCTTTTAATCTTTGATATTACGACATATTTTTAATCATTTGTTGAATAATTAATTTATCTTATTTAATAATGTTATCATGAATTTCCATTCGTATATAGTTTTACAAAGAAAAATTCAAGTTGTATATATATGTTTAACGAGTTTTTTCCTACATCCTTTTTTATCTTTGAACTAGATTAAAAGTTCCTTTTCGAAGAAATAAAATATCAGAAAAATTAACGAATGGATGAATAACAATAAATAAAAAAGAAGAAAAAAGAAAGACAAGCAAATTAGAGTTGAAGAGAGAAAGGATAAAAAGAGAAACGAGTAAGTAGAAATCCGGTATCAACGAAATGCTCCACGCGACGAGTAAGTTTCTTCACGTATTCTGTGATTTCCATCTGCGAGGGATCAGTGTGTATGTGTGTGTGTTGTTTAGGTGTGTCACAGTCATTATATATAGAAAAGCGTATATGTAAAGGATAGAGAGAGTAGTGCGTGGGCAAATCTACTATGCGTTTCAAAATTTAATCCATGAAATAGAAAAAGAAACGAGCAGTTTCTCCACGTGATGCATATAATATTAGTACCTATAAGAGTAAGAAAGGGAAAGATTGGAAAAATGTGTATGAATAAGAGAGGAAAAGAGAAAATAAAAGTGCGTACATATAAGAGGAGAAAAGAGAAAGAGAGAGAGAGAGAGAAGACAAATGCGTATGGGAAATAAAAAAAATAGGAATGGAAAAAGAAGAAAAATTCATAGGTATGTGTAAGTGTGTGAGGGAGAAAGAAAGAGAAAAGAAAGAAAAAAATATGTATGAGAGAAAGTGAGAAGAAGAAAGAAGAAAAAATGCGTATGAGAAAAAGTGAGAGAGAGAGAGAGAGAAAAGAAGAAAAAATGTGTACGAGAGAGAGAGAGAGAGAGAAGAAAAAAAAATGTATACGAGAAAGAGAGAGAGAGAGAGAGAGGAAAATAGAGACGAAGTGCATCGACAGTGGTTTTTCGCGGGTGAACGTGAATGAGAAAAGCACGAACGTGAATCGTTATAGAGAACTGGCAGCGAGTGCTGACTATTCCTACCTACCGTCGTGATTTAAAGAGGAACGAGAGGAGATGGTGAACGGAGGGAGAAGGGAGGTGGCGTCGAGACGCCCACTAGTCGCGAGTTTGCGCCGTCGCAACGCTTTCCTTTGTCCCTTTTCGTAAAATTTCACTCACTCATGCTTTCTATCTTTCTCTTTTTCCATCTTGTTCACTCTCTCTCTTTCTTTCTCTCTCTCTCTTTTTCTCTCTCTCTCTCTCTCTTTCTTTCTCTCTCTCTCTTTTTCTCTCTCTCTCTCTCTCTTTCTTTCTCTCTCTCTCTTTTTCTCTCTCTCTCTCTCTTTCTTTTTCTCTCTCTCTCTTTCTATCTATCTATCTATCTATCTATCTATCTCTCTCTCTCTCTCTCTCTCTCTCTCTCTCTCTCTCTCTCTNTCTCTCTCTCTCTCTCTCTCTCTCTCTCTCTCTCTCTCTCTCTCTCTCTCTCTCAGTCGTCGGTCGTTTTATCTTTCGAACCAACCACCCTGTTTCCATCTCTATGTCCCCCCTCCTCCTCCTCCTCCTCCTCTTTTCACAGAAACGCGTTAGCCTTTTATTCGAAACGTTCACGGCCAACGCTCAAAACAGGATCACTTTTCTCTACGAAGAGTGTATTTTTTTTTGTCTCACTATATTTTTTTCTCGATATGTGAAGTAGGGATATATAGATACATATGTATGTACGTATATGTTCGAAAAAACTCGTCGTGTAGTTGACCGCAGGCGCCATCGAAAATTGCGATTAAATTCGACGAGTGACCTCCGGAGAGCTTTCCCCTAGGGTTATCTTTGCCAAGTGAAACTTCGTAATTGCAATGCATCTTTCTAAATTCCATTGATCGAATCTATTTCATTATCTCTCGCGCTCTCTCTCTCTCTCTCTCTCTCTCTCTCTCTCTCTCTCGTCATTTTTCTTTCTCATTTAGTTATTTATCGAATATTTAGTTAAGAGTATTTTTATTACTGCCACTTGAATTTATCGACTTGTTGGAAAATATTCAAAATATCGTATTTATTTGAAAGAGAAAGTTAAATATTTGTTGTATAGATTATTCATTCTAAATTATATGTTATTCATTCTACTATAATTGTAAGTTTGCAAAAGTACACTTATATGTATATTAAATATGCAATAGAGTAGAAATATGTTATAAAAACATTTTAATTTATTATTGTACAATTAATATATTAACCCTGTATTATGCATGTATATATAGAGTCCAGTCTATTCCAATTTATAACTATATATATTTATTTTCTTATAAGTTTAACAATATTAAGTGCAATATCTATAAACGATATATATATAAGAAATTTTAAATGAATACGTACACCATACGTACACCATATAATATAAAACTACTTTAATTAAATAATAAGTATAATAAATTATTAATTTAACCACTTGGCATATTTTGACGTCTCCGAGACGTCATTCATTTCATGTGCCATTGTAGACTTTACCGTCTCCGAGACGTCAAGAACTGTTTTTGGTGAACAACGTTCAGTATTGGGATCTCTAGCACTTAAATACGCTATCTAGTGGCTAAATTCAAAATTAGTGTAGATGTGCCGAATTGCTGACAGCTGATTTCAACTACACGATATTTATGTAGAAATATTTATATTTTTAATTGTATGACTTGCTTATTTATTATTGAAAGTAGAATTGAAAATAACTAGTATCGTTAAACTAAAAAATTGTTGCAAAAAATTTCTTTTTTTGGTTATGGAGTTCCCAGCAAGAAAATATAAAAGTAAAGTGTATTCCTGTGTATTTGGTTGTACAAGCAAAGCTTGTCGTGATGAAAAAATTAGGTTTTTTCAATTTCCACCTCCTAATAAACATTTTGTTTATCGAATAAACAAATTTGGTGATAAAGAAATGATTGATAGACATATAGCTTGGGCAAAAGCGTTAAAATTTAGAAAAAGTATAACTCCCAATATGAGAGTCTGTTCACTCCATTTTATTAAAGATGATTTTTTACCTTCACGTAAGTATTTTCAACAATTATTTTTTCTGGTTATTATAAATTGTTAAATCAATAAATTTACGCATGCTTATATTGTTTTTGTGTATTGTTATAGCTATTGATTCAACTCGAACTTATTTAAAAAAAAAACAAGTGTTCCTAGTCAAAATCTTCCTTTAGGATCATTCAAAGAATGTGCTTGTCCTGTAGATCAAATAGATTCTCGAGAAGAAAGAATACGTAGAAGATCAATTAAAAAAGAATTAGTGACAGTTAATGATATTGAAAAATTGAATCTGAATGAAAAAAAAGGGAAGAAGAGGAAGAGAGATCAAGAGGAAAAAGAAAAACAAGGTGATAAACATGAGGAAGGAGAAAAAGATGAAGATGGAAACGAACAAGAAATTGATAATAACTTAAATTGTAATGAAACTGAGACAATATCAATTTCTACTAAGAAGAATGCATTATTTTTAAAATAATGTAAAAGTATAGGGATACAAGTTCAAAGTTATTTAATGATCCTAAAATTCTCCTCTTTAATTACATCAAAAGAAGAATTAAGTACACTGACTGGTATTCCTACTTTTGAAGTATTGAATTTACTGGAAAAAATAGTCGTAACCGTACGACCAAAACACAAAACATTCACAATTAAGCCAAATTAAATGGTATCCTATGGGCGCGTCGACAAGCATTTTATTCGTATGTCAAGTGGTTAATTAATCTGCATAGCTAAAATAACAAAAATAAATACCTACCGAAATTAGAATCGATTGAAATAGCTTCTAATCTAAAAAAAGAAGGATTAACTGTTAAAATGAAAAGAAAAAAAAGAGAACGAAAGAATCAAATAAACGATCGCAATACCGAAGTTCGAAGAACAGAAAAAGAAATAAAATAGAATTCGAACAATTAAAGGGTGAAGAACGATGATCGTAACAAATATTTACGTTACTCTCTTTAGTATACTTAACTCGTTGCTTTTCGAACCCTTTTTATTCGAACGACTAACATAAGAGTAGGAACACGTGAGGAATATGGCGGCGGTCTCGTATCGTCTACGAAGACGAAGAGAAAAACAGGAAGGGTTCAACGTCAGGGGCCACGAACAAACCAACCGACCAACCAACCAACCAATGAACGAACGTCTACGTAGACTTTGTTACACGAATGTTCCGCAGTATACTTACACGTCTCAGGTAATGTCTACACGTTGTACATATGTAAGTATTTATACATAAATTCATATATATATTTGTGTATAAATGTGGTATATGTGTGTGCATAAAAGCGTTGTGCGTGTCCTTATCCTACGATCATCCAGTGATTATGCAGTGGCGTCGACGCAAGAATAATAAGTCACGTACGTCGTACCTTAAGTATACAAGGGGTATATAAGTGAGCACATTGTTGTTGACAACCCAAACCCTTGTCTAAAAAAGTAATTTTGATTACTGTTGAACTAAAATAACAAACAAACAAAAAATACAAATAAAAATAAAAATAAAAAATAAAAAAAAAAAGAATATAAAAAGAAATTCTAGAGCTCGGTGTGTAGTACCTTTTCTAAATTTATTCAGCTAGGCCGGTAAGTGTTTTATATTCGTTGAGGAGAACGATGGCCCTCGTGTTATCGTCGATGCACGAAATACGAGCTAGACGGAACGTGTGTGTATGTATATGTGTATGTGTGTATGTATGTGTGGGTGTGTATCCGCGCGTGGCTGTGTTTTTATGTAAAAGTTCGTATTCGTCGTGAGTTTTCTTCTATATGTGTGAATGTTTTTTTGTTGTATGCAGCGTGTTACGTTGCACGTATGTGCGTATACGAGAAAAAGAAGGAAGAGAGGACAGAGAACTAGGGGGGGGGGAAGAAGGGAGAGGGAAATAGAAACAGAATAAAAAATAAAACGGAATTAGAAAAAAAATAAAAAAGAAAAATCTAAAAAAACACGTCGATCCACTCGAGTTTTCAAAGGGAATTACGTTTCACGAGTTTTCGCTTCGGCTCGTTATTTCCGTAAAGCGCACTACGATTTAACCCTCGAGTAGGTGCGCCTCGTTCTGCAACGTGAACGGGGCTCATGCTCTCTTTTGTTGATCCTAAGGACGTTCCAAAAGAGAAAAATAGAAAGAGAGAGAGAGAGAGAGAGATAATAAACGAGTTGAGGTAGGAAAACGGGAGCATCAAATCCCATTAGATTTTCCATCCTTATTGTTTTCGAATCGCGAAAGCGATCGATTGAAATTAATTAAGAGAAGATAAATTTGAGAAATGGTAAGAGAAATAGAAAAAATTGCTCTCACGTTCGAAACTAATTACAAGCGTTACTTATAACGTACACGGCGTATCTTTTTTTATCTTTTTTTATCTGTGTATGAATATAATAATTTCATTATTATTATTTTTTTCTTCTTGTACTTTTTGTCTATACGCATGTATAATTTTCCATTTTCATTAAATTCTTGATAGTGTTATTATTATTATTTTTTTTTGTTCATAAAATATTTTATTTATTATTTTAATTAACGTTTTATTGTTATTTTTTTTCTTGTTACATTTGTAACATTTTTGTTGCATCAATTAATCGATCCACACATCGGATTCCCATTTGCGCTTTCCCGTTTTAAATTCCCCCATAAAAAAACCGAATACGCATGAAACACTATATTATACAGTTAAAACGTTAAAGATCAAATCGTTTTGTACACGCGTATCTTCTTTTGGAATCGTTAATAAAATTAAACGCACAATATGGTCAAACGTTGACCAGAATGATAGGAAAAGATACACACATGCAACAAACAGAGAGAGAAGAAAGAAAAAAAGAAATAAAAAGAGATACAACACAAAAACATATGGTGGTAACAGTAGAACATAATCGTGACTATTCGTTTCGTGCACCCACGCGAGTCGTTCAAGAATCGACGAGGGAGGCATCGTTTTCGTTAATTCTCGGAATTTAAGAGTGAAAGGTCACTGACCCTCAAAGAACAGGCACCCAACATCGAGACCAAACAAAAGAGAGAGAGAGAGAGAGAGAGAGACAAAGTAAGTAAGTAAGAGGGATCGCATGTCCAGAGGCATTAAAGTGCGAGAGCATAATTACGAGCGGCGACAAAGGGCCAGAAAGGAAGGGAAAGTGGGGGAGGAGGAAAAGAGAAGAACTGAAGAAGTGAAGAAGGAAGAGAAGCGACAAGGGCAGTTGCAAGCCAACATGGAGACTCTCCCTTTTACCACCACCTCCCTCCCTTTTATTCTCATGACCTTTTCCTCCAAGCTGTGGTTTAAACCCACGGGGTAACCTTAAAACCCAAAAGTAAGCATGAGACACCTAGTATAGTAAAGTTAACACGAACAAACGTTAAGTCCTCCTTTACTTTGGTCCAAACTGATTTTCATCAACAGTAACAAACCTTCTACTAGTACTCTTACTAATACTGTTACTACTTTACTATCATTATTATCATTATCAAATTTTATTTAGTTGCTCTATGTCGTTATTCTCTTATACTAGGATTAATTAGAATTGCTACGAGAGTATACACGCGATAATAAACGTAGTGCACAAAATCTCCTTCATTTATATTCCTGTGAAATGCAAATATATGTGTTCTTTGGAAATATGTTGATATGTTGTCGAGAAAATTAATATTATCTAATGACATTATTTAATATGAAAAGTTATTGTGAATTTCGACGATATTATATTTTAAATTTATCTGTTCAAACGAATCTTTGTGTATATAGAAGATTTTTTTTTTTGTTAATGTTAATTATTATCGAGAAAACTTTTATTTGTTTTTGGTTTAGATTACCTAGCTGGCAAAAATTTCTACAAAAAAATTAAATAATTAAGGCTGATATTTGCTTATTCTTTCTATAATATTTAAAAAATATCACAATAAAATTTTATAAAAGAAAAGAAATAAATGAATAGCTTACTGTTTAATTATTCATTATTTTAATCGTTGAACTATGAATATTGAGAAACAAGATTTATGTAATTTTTTAGAGACTTAATATTATTAAGGTTCAATCTTATAATTATTATAATGTATAAAAATATATTAAAATAAAATAAAAGATAACTTAGTGTAATCATTACTTATTAATATATAATTATATAACTACACTATTACCATAATATATTAATTTATTTGTATAATATATCATATATTTATTTTTTCTTCATTTAAGTAAGTCACTGTAGTTTTTATAATATTTTTGAGTATTAATAAACGTTTTTTTTTTTTATTATAGTAACTATTTATTTTTATTTAATAAATCAACGTATAATATTTCAATATTATTATATTAATTAGCAAATAACAATTAGAGGAACCCATCGTGGACATATTGAATAGGATGCACGTGCGTGTCTATCTATACACGCGTGCAAGTACGATGATAACATCGAAGGAACCCGGCACGAGTCCTCATAAGTATTTTCTTTGATTTTTTGTTCATCCAACGAGTCGACGAATGAAGAAGAAGAGGAAGCAGAAGAAAAAGAAGAAGATATTAAGAGAGAGAGAGAGAGAGAGAGAGAGAGAGAAAAGAGATCGGAAAACGACTCACAGCCTTTCGCTTTTAAGGCCTCTGCTTGTTGTCCGTGGGGTCTCCGATCTAACTTTAGAACTAGACAACAGGACCACTTCCAGAGTACAAAACGGTAGTAGTACGACGAGGAACATCGTTCCCATTACCCTTGCAAAGGGCTAACTCAACTACTGATGGATTTCCTACGTAGGAAACTAAAATACGATCGATTTAAATGCCAACTGTTAAACCTCTACTTAATCACGTCATTCTATTTTTATTTTCTATTCTAAAGTACTAATTTATAGTATGTTTTTATTCTACGTATGAAAACACTACTGTTTTAAAATTATTTTTAAATATCAAAATAATAATTTAATTTTCCTTGAATAAGACAAAATACTAACAAATTATTTCTGAATATTAATTTATATTTTTGAATATAAACAAATAATTTTATTTTTCTATGAATGAAATATTACATTCATATAATATTTTTGACAGTAATTATTTATGATACTTTAAATAAAATAACTTTATTCTTATCTATGAATAATAAAATATTGTATTCAAATAATATTTTAAAATATTCATTTATG